CATTCCTATAATAACACATTTCCACGTCACAATAAAAACAAAGAAATGTCAACAAAAACATAACAAAAGTAATAATATATAATAATAATAATAATATATAGTAATAATAATAATAAAGTGTATTGATACGAAAGTAGCATTATATTTGAAACAGAACACAAATATTAAATTTTCATTAGATATGTAAAATGAACGAAAAATGGCCGGATATCCGGCTGCCGGATATCTGACCCACTGCCGTAAACATGTCGCGACCGGTTTACAGCGCGGGTGGCCGTGATTAATGATTGCACTTTCACATTGACGATTTGGTTTGTTACACTTGGTCACTTGGTTTTTATAAAAACGATTAATTTATTCGATAATACGAACAAATACATAACAGAAAAATGTTATATCAGTATATTTTAATATCAGTACTGTTTGTTTGTTGTGCCAAATACAAATTTCTCGCAGTGTAGAAGAAAAAAAGCAATTGCATAATTCATTGGCTATATTAAAGTTTCTAGTTGTTTTAAATATAAGCCTAGCACTTCATACGCCCATTATTATTTTGTTTCAATATGATTTCATTAATTTGTTTGTGATCTAACTAATTCTAAGCCCTGATAACAGATTTTCAAAAAAAATTATTTTAATTTATGTACATGTTTCATTATTGTAGGTGCGCATTGTTTTTGAAGACAGTTCAATTCGACCGTAATCGCAATCCTTTCATTTGGTCGTCTGGCAATAATAACAAGTAGTACTTAAAATTTAACAAAGTTTGCAAGAGTGTATAGTAAAAAATTGCCCTCTGAAGCTTGTCTCGTTTATAAAAATAAATAGAACCAACTTTTACCACTAAATGCAGAAAAACTGGCCTTCGTCTACCATAATTTGTCTATTGAAGTTTGAGTACTAAATTTGTAGACATTGTTATCTAATTTCATAGTTCTTTCTACAAGTAATAAACAGATTGTGAACGATCCTGTAGTTGCTGTTTATCTTATTACTATAATCATTAATCAATTTATTTGGCGTACTGATTATGAATTTTTATCAGTTTTAAACATCCGGTATCCGGCCGAATATTGTTCTGCTATCCGATATCCGGCCAGGCAGTAAAAATAGGCCGAATATTGACTATTTACCGGATATCCGTTTCATCTCTAATTTTCATTACAGAAACTTACCAAAACAATATGAGCCCCATGTCAGCAATGAACGAGCAATATGAGTGTGCTCATTCCACTGGTCCCTACATACCAATATCCGAGTGCATTACTGGAGTTAGAGCACAGGTAATTTAATTTCATATTATGTACCTACCTTATAATACAGGATTGAAAACTTGATACAAGAAACATACCCTGAACCTTTGTGCGAACAGGAACACATTTTAAACGAGTCTAACTTTTGGATTTATTTAAAACTTCATTAGAGGTTTTTCAGTAATTATAAGCTAGAAAATAAGTGTACGTTTTCTTTTTATGGAGGCAATCCATCCCGTTTCTCATAAACATTCAAGTTCTGTTCAGTAGGCAACTAATTGTAGGGTACACAGAAGTGTCACAAAGTGCAAATAAATGAATCAGGTGTTAAAACTCTCGTGTACTAGCAGGAAGATCAATATTCAAAACAAAATCTGTCCAACCGTGTTGGATACACTAATGATAATATTATGAAGCCAATACGTAATTTACCTTAACCACATTTGGTTTCAACTCTATTTTGTTTGTGTAAAAAAACTATTTCAAGTGCCATTCTATATTTAACCTAAGGCCCTGTGTACATCAAAATGAACAATAAGATATGAAGTGATTCAGACCTAGACGATATTCTTCCAATGATGATGTAAACGCGTAGTGTGCATTATAATCAAGATATCGCGTTCAAATTTAGCGCTATATGTATATCTTATTTGACAATTTTTAAAATACTATAAAAATTGTGTTTTTCATACAAAACTGAGGGCATACTTTCTTGTGCCTAATGCATGTAATTAATTATATTGTAGGTCAATGCATTTAGTGCATTTTAAAGTACTTTGGGCGTATAGCGTTTTTCCCATTGAAACAATTTTTGCTGTTTGCCGATCTAAATAAGCTTAAGTCACGAGATGATACTAGCTTAATAAAAAAATATTATTACGTTATAATGAAGTCTGGAATCAACAACATCATCGAGACCTTCGTTGCAGCTGATATCGTAGCAAGAAATGGAATTAGTTGATGTGTGTTGCAAACAAATTATTTAGTTGCCTCTACCACGAGTTTACTGTGACAGTTGTCGGTAGTGAAACAACATTTAGTATACAAATATTTTACGCGGTCGCTAGCGATAACAGACACTAATCTTATGGTAGAGGTTCAGAATGTTCAGTGACGTGGAAAGTATATGCTGGATAGCGAGCCGGTTGCCTCCCTGTCCTACAGGATCTTGAAAACCTGGGTGCAAGTCATCTGTGCCAATGCTTATAAATCAAGCGGCCGATGAGTCGCAGAGCGTTATTTACGAGTTCACCGCGGGTTCTCCGCAAAATAAAGCAATAGTAACGACAAACACTGGAATAAAAATTCAAATAAATTAGTTATGCCGGAGGTGCTGCGCAAGGAAGGTAAATGAAAAATATATACTCAGACTGAGGAAAAGAAAACTCTTCAAAAGAAAAATGTAGAATTAAGTATTTGGATAAAAGTATACAGCGTCTTTTCTCAAGTCAAAGTTTTTAGTGTATCAAAGGGAGTGTTGCGCACGAACATAAATTATAAGATAAAAAATTGATTTTAATTGATAAGTAATACCAGTGTGGATGATTTTTGAAATAAAGAATGTTTTAGATTTTTTAGATTGTAATTGCTAAGAGACAAAATGTCAAACAAAACATTAGAATTAAAATATTAGTTAATAATGCAATCGACAACTTACTTGGTACTTGGTGTAACGGGCTGGTGTCCGCAACTCGATGTCAAGGCGCCTATTTTGCCTATCGACAACTTATGTGAATTTCGAATAGCTCTGAAACTTGGATTTTAAATCATAATGCATATAAGCAATAATAGATGCAATATTCGTTGAACATCTAAACATCTAGTGTCAAAAATCTCGTTACTTTATCCATAAAGTATTGAGTATAGTAAATGTATTTTGAAGACAGATCGTGAGGTCTGATTTTACACCCACTTTTTATTGTTTATCAATCAAACACAATCTGAGTATCCACGTGTATCTGTGTGTGCGCGTGTCACTGTTTGTTCAAATTGAAGCACATTTCAAGACCAATGCTCGATGCCATTCCGATTGTGGCAGCCTGCATAAATATGGATTTAAAATTTAAATTGATGCTACGAAGTTGCAGCAAAATTTGCAACGCTTTAAAATTACAGTTTGACGTAAGCAGCCGTTACCCTACCGGAAAACGAAAGAAAGGAGATGCGAATTGGTGTCATTTTGAAAGGTCAATTTGCGTCACTCTGAACAAATACTTATTTATTTGGTTGAAATTACGACGTATGTTCTTTTTTACATTATTTTTTTAGGACACTCAGAGAGCGTTCACTTTTGATCCGAAGAACATAGTAATGAGTACTCGGACACCATTTGATCGGTCAGACAACAGGAACTACCAGATGTATATGAGCCAGCCTCACATAAAATTAAATAATACAGAGTTTTCGGAAAATGAATCGAACCTCAGCGATGAAGAGTGCAAATCGCTTAATGCTAGTCAATCTAATATAAGTAAGTGTTCCTTATTCTAGCTTTTCTGTGATTTTGTTTTGTCTACTATCTTTTGCCTGACATGCAAAGTAATTACTCCGTACTTTTTTTATTGCTGATAGTAAGTACTTCTAGTTTAATTCAGATAATTGCTGTGCAAACGCTAAATAAATATATCAATCGATTTTTTGTGTGCTGACTTCTGTATTAAGTGCAATTTCGTTGTTTTATTTTCTATTTTAATTTTGAGCGGTTACACACAGCGAAACAAACGCGATGCATACGCGATGCAGTAGCGACGCAGTCGCTAATCGTCGTATCTTTACATCACATACACTTGGGATTCATAGTTGATTGCATCGATGCAATCGTGGATTTATATCGATGCAGTCACGCGTTTCTATCGATGCAGTCGCGCATTTGCATCGATGCAGTCGCCTATTAATCAAGTGCAGCGATGCAATCGCGCGTTTCACGGACCGTCTGCATCGCTGCCAAAAGTCGCCGTGTGTAAACACTCTTATTGTCAATTTTTAATTTCATATTAAGTCACAGAATGTAATTACATGTTTCAGGAGATTGGTCGGTTGCGAAGACTTTTACAAAATTAGCGATAAGTCCAAACCGGAATGGTATATCGAGTGAAGGTAAGTTATTTTTCTGTGTCATTTTAATCATTTCCGAAAAGTAAATTCTACAGTATAATCTGTTGAATTAACAGGTCCACCTGTACCGCCACGGCCACCAAAAACTTTAATAATGAGTAGAGATTTGATACAAAAAGACCCTTTCCATGGACCTAAATTTCAAGAGCCAATTGAATCGCAGGATACTATTTCGGTGAGTACATTTGGTTCAGAAATGCAATTTTCCTGCTTTTTGCTTAAGCAGGGCCTTTATACATTTTATTTTGCCATTATATTAACTCGAAGTATGCATAGTATGCAAAAGTTTACAAACCTTGACACACATATATAATTTATATGCATTGTTTTGTGGTTGGTCTCGGGATGAATCTGATTTCCATAAAATCAAGTCGGTTTATTCCATAGCTCAAGAAGTATCCTGTTCATTTATTTACATATATTTACAAAAGCAACACGTTCAAATTAATATTCAATTCAAATCCATTTATTCGTTTTAAATAGGGTACAGTACATTATAATATAAATGTTGATGGTAAAATTTAATTAGAACTTAATCCTATTCAGCCTTAGATAAAAACATGCAAAATAATAATAAACAATTAAACATTGCATAAGTTAATTTAATTAATACAGGATAAGTTATAACGGCGGACGTCATAATTTAATTAGATTAGATAAATAAATAATTGTAAAGAAATGTATGGATCGATCAATTAGTCTTTATATTTCATAAAATTGCCAACTGAGTAGTCGTCAACGATTTTCTATTATTAAAATAACAAACTGCGTACGAGATTTCTGCCAATATAGTACGAGTGATTATGACCCAATATTGTGACTAGTTCAACAGCTTTATTTTGAACGTGTTAAAGATGATTTTGTTTGTGTCTAGCCCCAGCAGATACTACGACTGCCGAAGCGGCATGGCGCTCCACCTTCCCCTGGCCGGGTGCCTCTAACGCCAAATACGATGCGGCAGTCAGACGACGAAGAAGAACGCTCGCCTGGCTATCAGGTATTATTTTGTTTTCGTAGGTGGTTTTTGATTTTATTTCTATTTCTTTTTCTGCTTAAATTATTGTTCATGATCGGAAAAAGGTGCTATAAATCTATAGATATATGTATAGATATAACTGCAAGTAGTGACATGGGGTTGTTAAAACCACCAAATATGAATTAATTACTTTTTTCGAATTCTGGATTTCCGGAAATGGTTTTACTGCGTCGAAGGACAGAACTACTGGCCTAGGAAGTCGAAGTTGGATTTTAAAGTAATTCTAATGGTGACATGTAATAAAAATGTAGTAGATAACTGACCTTTTACCAAAGCAGAAAATGAAAAATAACGAGAATTGTCGCATTTATGAAACCTCGCATTAAAAATACGCAAAAAAATGGCACGTGGTCTACGAGTAAAAAAAGTTTGGGAACCTCTGTTTTACAGGATTATTAATCCGAACGTAACCTCTTAAAACGGCTCTCGTATTAGGGGTTAAAGTATGAAATTGCCGTTTCGCACTGAAAAATTAAAACAATTTTTTTTAAGATTAAATATATTTGTTTAATCAAAGTTTTTTCCCTTGTTGTCTATACATTTCTGCCATGTAATCGGAAGGTCATTTAAACCTTTGCGATAGAAGTCTGGAGACCTGGACTCCACAGCTGTGTGAAGGGATTTTTGTACTGCTTCCTGGGAATTTTATTTCCATTCAAAAAAAAAATCAAATTGCGGGAAAAAATGGTAGTCGGTCGGGGCGAGGTCCGACGAATATGTAGGATGATGGATAATTTATATCTGCAGGTCTTGTAGTAGTAAAACTGTTTCTCAAGCAGTGTGAGGTGTTGCGTTATCATAGAGCAATAACGGTGAAGCTGTTTTGCTGCGAGTTCCGTCGTCATTATTCAAACGCCATATGTCATATTGTGGGTATGCTAACATTAAACCATGACGTTTCGTGGTAGTTTGATACGGATCGGCTTCCATCATTACCTTCAATTCAACGTTATTTACATTTGTGACTGGTCTTCCTCGTGGTTCTTTCTTCAAGTCGTAATTTGCCGTATTGCCGGCGTTTGCCGTATTTGCGTATGCCGTATCCTCTCCAAATACAGCATTGACAGTTTCTGCTACGTTAACTCCATGTGGAAATTCGTATTCGAAAATTAGGTACTCAGATTTTCGCTGTATCTGTCTTCACGTTAAAAGCTGAATGTAAAAACAATTGAAAGTCGAACAATCAAATATCATATTTTTTAAGTTAAGCATGTTTTACTTTTCGTGTGAAAAACGTTTCACTCTGAAATCGGACACCATACAGGTTTAATTTTAATTTAAAGTGGCCAGTGAAATAAATCGGCAATTTCATATTTAAACCCCTATTATTACCAAAACAACTTTTGTTCTACGACACCCTAACGACATTTTGTTCTAAGGCCCTTTATTTATGGGAGACAGACAGGCATGTATGCGGGCGGCCTAATGGTTATTGATTAGTATGGAATATATTGTGAACGCTCTCGTCATTTCTTTTATTTCAGTCAATGCAATATTGCAACCTCCCGCCGAGCCTGCCGCCCGCCGTAGACCGCGCACTCAAGCCTCGCCACTCGAGTCACATCATCCACTTCAACCATTTCGGTGGACATGTAAGTAATAAAGGAGTGTGCTGGTATCTTGTTGTCGCGCTTTTATTTCGTTCTTAAGTTAAAAACATAATAATGAAAGCGTATCGTCCTTTTGAAGAGCCAATGATTTAGCCTCCTCCATTCCTCACGATCCTTAGCCAACTCATAAACCGCTCTCTGGCTGCTCTCTTTGACATCTCATATCTTCTCTTTTACTTACTTACTGTGATTCTCGGTCCTCCTCTCCTTCTTTTTCTGTATTGACCTTGTGTCTATATTGTCTATTATTTTTGCCGTGTATTTTGACGAATGTATGTATTGTGTACGAAACGACATTTATAAAACCCGATCGTGAACTGTAACGGCGTTTATCGTAAAATTGAATATCAGAATATGATCTACAGGGTACGCTGTTTCACTATATGAATCTCAAAAAACCAACTACGGGTTTTACTATGCGATTTCCAAGTGCTTTCTGTGTGGTTGCCGCCTACTGCTTCTCCGTAGAGAAGTATCCATGATGTACTGACAATATTCAATTATTTACAGAACATTTTATATTGAATCAATATAAATATTACACGCCAAGAGAAGTAGTGACGTTTTTGTGTGCGGCTCTATTTAAATACTGTTCATGAACGGTTTATTTTAAGGACTAACCAAAGACATCAGGGCCGGGACGTGGACGGGCCGAGACAGTGCGTCCGTGCCTCTTCAAGGGCTTTCTGTTCACACACGTCCGGGACGTGACTAGACCGTGACACAGTATCGAATTAACTGTCGCTGGTGACCAGTAAACGTCAGTACCCGATTCGTGAACTGTTTTACCGATAACTCCAGTGTGGTGAGACGTATTGACAATAAATTTTTACTAGTATTTCACAGTTTAATGCTTGGTAACTCAGTTTATACAGAACATACCTTACGATTTGTCGATAAAACAGTAATAATGTCAAAATTACAACTCGTGACGCGATTGTTGACATTGAATGCTTGCTGAAGATTTCTGCCAGAATGAATGCCATTACTATTTATTTATATTACCTATCAAAATGTTCGTCATCACGTGCTTTTTCTGATGATGTTAAAACATTAAAATTTAATTTAAAAAAAATTAAATTTATAATTATATATGTAAAATTATATTCATATAGTCGAACGTATAACCTCCTCCTTTTTTTTTTCAAGTCGGATAAAAATTACACGTCACGGCTTCGGCCCGGACACTGAAGTTTCGGCGCCGGGCCGGACACGGACGTGTGTGAACGAGTTCATACAAAATATACATAGCGGTACTTTTTTGAGCACGGCGGGTCGTCCACGTCTAAGCCACGGCCCTGATGTGTGTGGTTAATCCATTCGTTCACAATCTAATGGGGTATTTATTAGACGTGATAGGCGCCTTGACGTCGAGTTGCGGACAACAGCTCGTTACACCAAGTTCCAAGTAAAAGTGATTGCCTCAGTTTACTTACATGAACCGGTTGAAAATGGATCTGACGTTCATTAGTCCATATCTCATCTATATTAGATGAATTAATAGTTAAGTCTTGTTATATTGTAAAGTGCGTAGATTGATTTCTAAATACATTTAACCAATTTATAATGCATTTAACCATTTTCAACGAATTTCAACTATCGCTATTTGTCAAATGCGATTATTTTCGAAAAGTAAAATTCAAAATTTAAACATTTTGCATTGCCTCGTTCATATTGTTTGATTTTATTTGTGACTTACGTTGTTTGAATTTCAGACTTTGCAACTGTATCAGGCTGATGATTCTAAAGCTGACGGCCTTCAATATTTAGACCTGGATCTTCATCCCACGAAACCTGTTCCTTCAAAGGTATGTCGTAATTATATAGGTAGATCCAATTAAATTAACTAAAACTATTTTTAAGAGGAACCCCCGTAAAAAATGCGAGTAAAAAATCATCAATCCCATATATTTTGGTCAAGTAGCTATTAAAAGCACCGCATTTAGTAGCCCTATGGGAGAATGGTTGCTTCTCATTTAAGAGGACGGTGACGATCGCTGTGGCGGCATCGAACTATGATTTCAATTATTAAGTTACTTAAATTTGTAAATATTTAGTAGCAATACTTTTCGCCAAATGGGGAAAGAAAGATTTTACGAAACCAGCCGCCGTCGCCTGGCAAAACATGTGTGATAAATCTCCCTGCGACAATATTTAATTCAGTTGATAACTCTAAGTTTGCTTATTTGGTAATGAGTTATTGTTTAACATTTTGAAGAACAAGGACAACGATATAAAATTGCGTATATAGCTATCTGCCGTTTAATCCTTGCCGACAAGAACATGAACCAAAAAATGTCTTTTCATTTCGTTTGTCGCGCTCAATTTTTACGTTGATAAAATTACTGTGCAAATGTTTTAAAATCAGCTGTGATCATGCAGCCATGTTTGGCACTGTGTTAATCTTTTGCAGTCATTGGTCGCCAGCGCTCGCGATTACATAAAAATATGACGTCACGGTGCTCGCCATGTTTGCTATTGTGATAAAATTTTAAAATGCCCTTTTATCACTCGAATTTGACAGCAAAATGTGGATATAAAAGCTTTGTCGAGGCGGCGGCTTACGACGTGGGCAGCATGTCGTTGGAGGTTCTCTGTTCCTGGAAAACGTGTAATGTCTCCAACTCACATAGACCTAAACCTTCTCCTTAAAGACGTCACGTGACCGGCAATAAAGCGTATAATGGGCTTATAGCGATAAAATAGACCACAATGTTTTTGCGATTTTAAAGTGTGTTTTGTAGTAAAATAACCGTGCCCGCTAGGACTGTAAAATTTATTTTTACACGGTTTTTAAAATAAAACCTTTCCAAAAGAAATGTAATTTCACATCTATGAGGTGGGCCGTCTGTCAGTTTGCTGGCTTTAATGCCATATAAAAACAATAGTTAGTAAAATTCAATATAAATGTTATGTTATGTAATATAATGTTAAATTATTAGTGAATGTATACCTAAATAAAGAAACATTTTATTTTATTATTATTGTCCCTGAAAATTGTATTTCTAAGTATCTTCAATGTACAGAGTAATCTATGCTACATTTTTTTTCCAACATTTATTTATTTCAGATATTTTATGTATAGAAGTGGTTGGGAATTGATTAGATCGCGTCAGAATAAGTGAATTCTCATTTCACAGTGTCCGCAACTAATACTTCAATCTATCGGGCGTTAGGCGCCACCAAACCAAATATTTCTTATGGTTAGGTGACAATAAAATTCGTTAAACTATCTAAAAGATAAACTTTTCATACAGATATGGTTCTGTAAAAGGTCTGCATTAAACAACTTACTTCTAAATGTGTGATCTACCGCATACCAGTGATATAAATGCATAAATAATTTATTTCTTGTTTTTGTTTTAGCCTCAAGAAATACATCACAAGAAACTTAATATAGCTCACGGAAAGTCGCTCTCGGCTGTCAATACCTATTCTGCATATAAAACTGTAGATTTCGTAAAAACCAAGGCTTTTAACATCACAAGACAGGATGCAGAAGCTTCCAGAAGCAATCAGCAATAAACCAATATCGATAACCAGGTAACGTTGAAACGTGTTTATCGACAATTATTAAAAAGACTACAATTTGTTCTAAAAAAAAAAAACCAATCTTATTTATATTGTGAATACGCATTTCTACTATTTAAGATAATTTAGGAGAAAAGTATGATATCAAATTTTGTATTTTTTAAGCTTTTTTACGTAGTTTGGTCAATGAAGAGGGTCTACATGTAAAAGCTTATAATTAACAGTGGTGAGGCATCCATATACCTCGATTCCCACTTGCTTGCCTAACATTTTCCACGTATAATTAAAACACTATGAGACAGCGCGCATACCCCACAACTTAAAAACTTTACTCAAAATATTCATTAATAAACTTGTAGTAACCTGTCCTTGATAATACGGAGCTTCCCGATGGATCTTATTACCCAACCACAGCGCGAGTTAAGCCGGTATTTTTTATTTCATTCATAAAATTTACGCGCACACATCAAAAAGTCAAAAGTCCACTATAATACATTGGTAGAAATGACTCACCGGTAACCCGCTAATGATGGAGTTATAATCGAATATTCACTTAAATTTAAACCATATAACGTATGGCGTGAAGGTTGATTTTTAATGACTCGTACTAACTTGCCGCCAATATGTTTATTAGAAAAGAATGTTGCCAAGTGTTAAACTAAACGTTTGTATTGCAATATTTGTATAATAGTAAAAAATTAGTATTATACAAATATTGCAATAACATATTATTTAAACAAAGGCTATTAGTATTTTGTAAATGTTGAACGATAAATAGCGTTACAAAAATGTTTCTTCAAGTGTTTTATTATATATAGGCCTACCCTACGTAAAGGAAAGAAGCTCGTGTTAATTAGATAAATTATTATAATAATATATTGATAAACTAGCTCGTGTTAAATAACAATTGCATTCACACACGATATGAAATTTTGTTTACAAGTAATTGTTAAAATAATGTAATAAAGCAATAAATTTTATATTTAGCGTTATGGAACCAGTGAAATTAACTTTACTAGTGTCTTGTCTGTTAACAAGTCTTGCTTTCAGTTTCACCAAGGCGTCTTTTCACGTTTCTTTAACAGGTACATTTTTTGTCTTTTACTGTACTATTTGTAAATGACCGCTTTAGTCCAATTCTATTATTATACTATGCAAGCCTTTTACGAAAAAATAACTTGTTATAGTAGCTGATTTTTTTGAACTGGCTTTATTAACGAAAATTTTCACGCCTCGCCACTGATAATTAATGAGCATCTTGTAGAAAATTGTATGAGCTTTCATTTTTATGTCACCATTGATTACATCGTTTTCGAGATAGCGAAACCGGAACCAGCTTTGTACCTCTCACTTTACTGTTTCTCGCTTTAGTATATGTACCTAAAAAATAACCGTGCCGACCATTTCTGTCTAGACCCCCTTTTTGAGCGTTTTGAGCCAGGCCAGGCAAAGGACTAATCAATAGCAGCACGTCTTCCATTCTCATGAACTTAGAGATCCAATTATGTTCAATGTATTATTGTAAAGTAGTTGAACGATGAACTGTATGTGCCCTAGAGTATTAGAAGCATTAATTCGTAAAGTACCAAAACCTTACTTAAAAGAAATGAAAGAAAATAGACCATGCAATAAACTACGTGTCTTTGAAAAGACAATTCTGGATTATGCTTCGATATAAAAATACATGTGATGTGTTAAGGGGTACTTTAATTATAAAAAAATCTTTCTTGTTCTACATAAAAGTATGTGTGTTGCAACAGTAGGGTTGTTCCTAATTTTTTTTTTGGAAGAATATAGTTGAAAATGCTTGGACGGTATACCCTCCGGCACATTTAGCAGAACAAAAAAGTGAGAATATAAATTAATAATATCGTTTATGTTCAAATAAATAAGAATTAGATATAAAGTAGCAATTCAATTAAAAATATTCTATTAACTTTAACTCAGTACTGCCCTACTCAACATTTATTGAAAAAAATGTAAATTAAACAAAATGCATTTTTTTGGATTTTGTGGCAAAGCAGAAGAGGCTGAAAGTTTAAAAATTGTAACAGATTACCATTGATTAAATTAAAGTTTAATAATTTTTTTTCAACAAAATCTCGAAATTAACAAGAATACAAAATCAATGTTGAACCACTCAACAAACCTGCATTTGTAAGAAATTAAAACAAATTACATTCGACATGTTTTTTATTTTCAAATGAATTTGAAAATAAAAAAATGACGACTCTTTTTTTTTTTTTTTTTTATTTTCGGTCTAAACCTAAATAAAAAATATCAAGTAAAACAAGGAGACAGACTTTTGAAAAAAATTAAAAATGCTCATTGTTCGTTCCACTAAATGTGCCGGTATATGTAGTATCGTCAGAGGTCAAAACCTCTTTGTAAATTACAATTTTCCATACCAGCAGCCTTATATGGCGATTGTGACTTTGTCATTTCACGCGCATGAGTATTAACATTTTATATTAAATTTTATTTTATCGTATGTGGCGTCATTGTCGGTTCCAATTGTGAGATTACGCCTTAGGACAATCGTACGAGAAACTCACCTGTTGGACTCAAAATCACACCTGGCAAATCGAGTTGGTGCTTCACTACCATGATCGCGATATTTACTGCACTTTTAAGATCATGTATGTCTGTGTGGTCCATTCATATAGCACCTGATCAACCTCGTTTGGTGAAACGAGCGGTCTATGAATGGTGATTCATAGACCGCACGTTGTCAATAACTGGTCAATACCATATCAACGGGGCACCGTCTCCTCTTTATGAAAGCCGTAATTTCACAAATACAAGCCTAGGCATGAATGAAATATATAGACATAGACATGTATCCATATGTCACGAAATGATATTATAATTATTTAAATTATATTTTAAGTTATACCAAATTGTTTTATGCGCATAACATGTTCAAATAAATTAGCGATATTTTGCATACTTGAATTTTTCGTAAGATAAATAATTTCGTAAGTATTTTATCGGTAGTGCATGTTTGCAACATTTGCGAAACCAATAATACACTTTAGTATTATATTAACGCACAAAAATTATATAAAATTTTAGCAAATTTTTGATAAGTAACGTGATGAAAATTTTTACTTGTATTGAGATACAGTATTCGTTCAGGTAAATAATTATAGTAAGTACTTAATGGAAGTATATTTGTATAGAACTTATTATTTTCAAAATACACTTTGACTGTTTGTTAAATAATTATTATTTACCCGTGTTTGGTGTAGTGTTATGTTCAAATTTAACATAGCAATATTCTGTTGAGTAACGTTGCAATAAACTTAGTGGTCTGTAGCTTACGTAAGTCTAAATTTTTGTCTATGATAAAGGGTGTAACAGAAAGATGTATTTTCGAGTGTTCGTAGCACTGAACAACTTGGTCACAAATATTTTTCTACCAACAATCTGAATTGTTATGAATCTGGTGTCTAGACACTGATAATAGGTTTCTTTTGACAATCAAATGTTTTTTTGTTACAACCTGTCCATTTCAAGTTTTACGTACGAGTTTCAATTCTATTCCACAAGGAATGGAATTGAAACTCGTATTGAGTCCCAGTAGAAAATATTGAGTGATATTTACATTAATATACGTAGATGTACATGATTGTGTACGTAATGTACAATTGTCTCACCACAAATTGCACAAATTAAAACTGGACACAGAAGGTCAATCACAGCTTTTTAGTAATGCAAAATCCTCGCAGAACTTCAAAATACCGTGACCAAAACTGTATAGGAAGTCAACATTGTGTTCCTAAATCTTGTATTAATTAATGTTGTAGCTTCTAACTTTTCATTTTTAATTGTGTTTTGAAGTGGAACTCTGTCATTTATATAGCCTGTCTTTTTTGAAGAGTAGAATGACTTTTGCAGGGTTGTCAGGTTTTATAAAATTTTAAATAGTCATGTAGTTGTGGACAGTTATCGACAGATTGTGACAGAAGACAACATTTTGCCAATAACGTCTGAATTGTGAATGCTACGTTCTATTGATTACCAATTGCGTTATTGCTTTCTTTATGCTTATTTTGACAGTTGAGATACTATTTGCGAAATGAATTTTTATTCGTATACATTTTAATAAGATCAGACTGATTTCATTATTTATATTGAACTAAAATGAGAGAGAATGAGAGAGAAAATGAAACACTTTAAAACATATCTCCTATTTGTACTTTTAATAGACATCGTTCTAAATGCAGAGTATGTATCTATGAACTTACAAAAATTGACAATTCAAATGAACCTGTGCCCAGCAGTTGGACGAATAATAGGCCGATGAGGATATAAATGAAACCAGTTCGGCTATTTATTGCATAAGCGTGACCAACATCGTAGGTAGAATATTTATCGATTGCAATCATTAAACTGAGATGGAGTCGAATTCCAAAAGTATAAAACAACTGTCACTGTTAAAGTGACACCTTATAGATCGTAAACCTTTTTTCCACGATCATTTATTAACATATTACACTCTATTCTGACTAGTAATAATTATAATGGAAAAATACCCTATTGGGTTGAACAATTTACTAAACTTTTTAGAATCATTTTGTGTGTCAGTCATAAAATATTTTCAATTCAAAAATTACGAAGAAATGAGATGTGTCACGGCCCATAGAAAAGTATGCAAAATATAAACATCTCAGAATATTCTTTGTATTGGGAACATAAAATTTTTGTTTACGATATCAGTGGCTAACATGTCAAATATTGACTTTTGTTTTTATTCAGGCAAACTGTTCTTCGAACGGTTCTTTCAGATATCCCCAGAATCTCAGCAGTTTTATTGGCACACTCGCACAAAGACCAATATACATTTAGTGGCCAGATTTAAAATGTATGCTTGTAGACATTAATTCTCGGTTACGGACATTGCAGGGCGTGGTTATTCTTCTGCCTCCATTGTGGTTATGTTTACATGAACGCAATAAAATACAAACGTAACAAGAGTGTAAAACCAAAACTTAACAAAAAAATAACACAAAACGGAAACTCCACAAACACAAAAACCCAACAACACGACCCATACGCAGCAAGGAACATAATTCGGTACCGTACACCGGGGTTACTTTGATTCTCGGGATTGCTTTGATCAAAACTTCCTTTTCACATAAAACTGCAAATTGCGTAAAAGACAAACTACTTTTGGGAGAATTTTTTTTCGGGTGGCAA